GGGATGGGCGGGACGGGACGGGACGAGACGAAATGGGACGAAATGGGACGGGATAAACGGGACGAAATGGCCCTTCCGTCCCATCCCGTATCCCGTTTAACATGGGACCATCCCGTTTAAAATTAAGTGGGACGGGACAGGACGCGGGACGGGACCGGGACGGGACCGGACCGTTGGACAGCCATAGCGTGGGTATGATTTTCATGTGCAACTCTGAGACAAAGAAGGACTGCTATCTGTACAAGGTTCTAGGACAGCCAGCAAACAAGAGAGATGGTGGAGTAAGTTCAAAAAGGGATGAAACTCTTTCTATATGACGTTGAATTGAAATTGATGAATGAGATCTACAAAGCTGCAGGACATGGGGGTTTTAACATTGAACCCAAGGCTTTTAAGTCACAATTCCCATCGCAGGTCAGCTAGTACGACTTTGAATCCCTTTGAGCTCCACCTTTTTACTCTTTTATAGTTTGTTTGCTTTGAAGAACAATTCTAGTCGTAAAATGCAACAGCAAAGTGACCTCTGACCAATAAATGGTAAGAGCTAACAACATCTCGAGGATCTTTAAAGGGTGGAGTCATAAGACCTTGAATACATTATCAACAAGGTTGACATTTTGTGTAATAGCTTGTTCTTTCGCCACCTCCTCCACTTGCCCTGCTTCCTTCTCTATTTTCTCTAGTGTTCTCCCGTTTGGACTAGTAATTGCTTTATTTACGACCTTCCCTAAGTGGGGAATTTGCACAGTAAATTAACTCTATGATTTTGTTGACATTGTTACTTGGCTGAATCGGCCATAGAGATGAATTATATTCAATTCAGGTTGAGGTACTTCATTTTTCTTCCAATAGGCCGTGACTTGCTAAAAGTATCTGCTGACGTTTGTTTCTTCTTTCCTTGTGGAATAACAAAATGTTTGTTTGCATCCCTAAGAAATCTGATTGAGCTTGAAAAGTATTGTTGGAAAAGCAGTAGTTATTTGATAATTATGAAACTAATTTCTCATTTAGATCCATGCTTTTAGGTAAAAAAAAATTTCTAGTGAGCAGTTTATATTTACAACGATTCTTTGTCAATGCTTTGCACTGATGCCCTAATTTAGTTTCTCTGGTGGATTATTGTGCTATATTCTGGAGACTAAGAGTTGAATTAGCAATATATTTGATTGAATATGTGCATTATCCTATATCAAGGAACAAAACTGTACAAGTGACCATTTTTGGGTATATCAATTTGTGGAGGAGGTATTCTTTCCTTTGTTCTGCCTTTGTTCGTTTTATTGTAGTTAAAATCTGAAATTATTCTACAAGACAATGTCCCATGTGTACACTGAGTACATGAAGTTCTAGAAACTTTCTCTATCCAGTTACTTTCCCTTATGATGTTTATAGGATGATAGTGAAAAGGAAGAGATTGGCTGGGCAGAGGGTCAATAGAAAACTATCTTTTGGATTGTGAAACATCTCGAAAGATAGGGTCTAGGGGCATGTAAAAAAGCTCGTTGTTCCATTTTGAGGTCTTTTGATTTTCATCTGAGATAGGGGCACGTAAAGAAGCTTGTTATAGGTGCATCAGAAGTGAGTTTCTGAAGTTGTTATAACACTGATTGCACTATGCTTGCTGCATTACTGCGTGGTTCATTAGTGTGCCAATGACGACAAAGGATCACTTTGACCATCCTGTTCTTTCCCATTCTATTGGTCAGTTTTTTAAATTTCAAGTGATAATAACTATCTTTTGCTGCAGGTAAATTTTCCATTGAATCACATATTACCTGCAATACGTTATCTTTAATTTTTGAGAAGTTCACATATTTCTCTCGGTGCTCGTCCGGCTTTTTTTGTTGCTGGTGTTCAAGGGCCGGGGGGTGGTGCACCATGAGTTTTGTATTGCGAGTTTGGAGAGATGGTTGGTGGTCAAGGGGCTGGGAGGGGTGGTGCATTGTGAGTTTTGTATTGTGAGATGGAGACTGAATGGATTATGCCTCCACATTAATTATGTAACTGGCAATGATGTCACATATACTACAGTAATTCTTGGTTTGTTTAGAAGACTTCCTCAATGCAAATTAAATTCAAGAAGTGTGTTGTGTTGGTGCTTATGTTTTGTGCAGTTTATGGATATGATTGCTTGAATTGCCATTTTATCTTAACTATATATCTGATGATTTCAGGTTCATTTTTCTGTTTGTTGAAGATTGCTTGCCACTAGCAGAGGAGAAGTTTAGGGAAGTGATTAAAACGAACTATTACACGAGGACAAAGTTTGGTTGCAAATTGACCTCTGAACAGGTATCTGGACATTTATTTTGAGAATGGTAACTAAATAGGTATCTGGACATTGTATTTGCATCTATTTGAAATCCTCACACTTGTTTGGATGCTGATTGTAGCCTTGTGTGGGTCATGCCAACAACTTGTTTATATTTGTTGCTAATGAATAGGTGAAGAACTTGTGTAAGCTTTTCACTTCTGCTAGCAAAGAGTCCGGATCCGAGGAGTCTGGTTCACAACTTAAATCAGAGACCAGTATTATGGCCAAGAGGGGCAGAAGTATGGGGCGGCATGTGCATAAGAAGAAAAAAACTGAACGTGCTCGACAAGCTAAGTGGGTGGAAGTGGAAGAGTCTAGGTCCATGCATATCCACATCTGCACGGAAGTGATGTAGTTACAACTGCACTGGTGCCATTAGCTTTGCCTCAATATTTACTACCATGGACCACCTGCTACTGGTCAATCATATAACAGAACTTCGGAAATTGATGTTTATGGACGGGACACAATGACACAGAGTCGTGATTCTTACAGAGAGGTGCAACTGGTGGAGCCACATGATACTTATAGGCGGGACATACTGCTAAAGAATCCTACTATTAACAGAAGTGAGGCTCTAGCAGCAGAGCATTGTGATTATTCCAAACAAGATGGATTAGTAGAGCATCATGAATATCAACCAGTAAATTTGGAGACAGGGCACCAAGATGCTGTAAACCATTATCGCGATGCTTTATACCATGAGCATTTGTCATACCATGATACTGTATACCCGACGGGCAGACATCCCAATTATAACCCTCCTGCAGACCGACGACCTGAATACCATTTTGGTGGTCTATCAATGGAGTACAGTTCTACCAGAGTCATCGCTCCTGATTACCATTCATCTGCAAATTCTCAGCCCGAGTTCCATTATCATCATCCTGTACACCGATATTAGATTCTGTCAAAGGTACACAGTAATAAGAGAATGCTAACTCTTCCCACTAGAATTCAGCTTGATCGTGTTGATTATTTAGTGTTTCAATCTTCAAGGATTTGTGTATACTGATGTTTACTTTGTTAGTTTGAGCCGAATTTCATTAGATGGTGACCCTTATTTTACCATAAGTTTTAATTAGTAGTTATTTATCACTTTTGCAGAAGAGAAATCCGTTGATCTAGATTCATCTTGATTTTTATGGTTGTCGTTTGCTCTATTACTTTCAGGCAGCAGTACCAACTACCAAGTAGTGAATATTTCTCTCAACTCTTTTATATAAGGTCAGTTTGACTGGTTTTAATGTTCTTCTTACCACTTATCATTATCTTATAGGTGATATCAGCAATCAAATACAGTAGTATAAGACATAGAAACACTGGAAAGGAAGACCAATTTGACACCCTCCGCTCCATTGAGCAGATATATTGATTGTGGTTCTTTATTGGATTATTTTGATTAAGCTTATATGTAGGGGTCATAATAGAGACCATCCTAGTTTGAGCTAATTCTGTTCATTTCAGGTCTTACTAGATTTAATTAACCTAAACTACTCTGCCCATCTTCTTAACCTTTGTGTTAAATTTTGATGCAGGCCAGAATTGCAGCTTGTTCTCTAACCGCGCATAGAATTAACAAGGGGGGTCCTTACATGAACATGAGCCGAGCTGAGCATAGAATTGAAGTTTAAACACACGGAATTTAGTGATCTAACAGTAATTTTTCTTTTAATTAATATCAGTATATACATTTTGCTGAAGTTGTTGATCCTAGTTTTGAAACTTCTGAAAAAGCTAGACGAACTCAACTCAGAGCAAACTCTGTCAACCGTGCTGAAAGTTCTTGAATTGTCAGTCCCAACAACAACAAGAACAACAACAACTCAATATAATCCTACTAGTGAGGTCTGGGGAGGGTAGTGTGTACGCATACCTTACCCCTACCCTGGGGTAGAGAGGCTATTTCCGATAGACCCTCGGCTCCCTCCCTCCAAGAACTCTCCATCTTGCTCTTGGGGTGACTCGAACTCATAATCTCTTGGTTGTAAGTGGAGGGTGCTCATTACTAGAGCAACCCACTCTTGTCAAATTGTCAGTCCCGGGTATTAGTTTTCCATTTTGATTGACATTATTAGCGGAAAATGTTTAGCTTTGAGGATTTTTTGAGATGGAGCTTTCATTTGCTCACACATTGCGTCTATTTTTCTTTTCTCATCAATATTATCTTATACTATTAGTCTTCCTTTGACAATTTAGGGATGGCAATGGGGCGGTGCGGGACGTGTTTATACATATGCGGGGCAGGGCGAGGCGGGTTAAACTAAAAGAAAAATAATTTTTTGCGGGTGCGGTGCGGGTGTGAGTTTAAATACTCATTTTTCGCAAAACTATAAGAATATCGTTCATCAATTAACGCAAAATTATTCGGCCATTTATAAAGAAAATTTCACAATTAGCTTATGACTCATATTTCTTTTATTATTTCAAATATTTGTAAATCACATTTTAATATTCTGAACAAAACGGCTTTTCAGAAAAAAGATAATTAGGTTCATATATTTATAAAGTCGTCTGATGGCATTCAACTTCTTTCCATAATATCCATTGAAATAACAAATATCAATGAAGAATAATACAAAAATTTAAAATTACAAATTAAAATGAAGATACAAAAAGAAATGAAGCGGTAAGCTTCATGATCGGATCCATCTCTTCGTCAACTACCTCGTTTGAATCTGTTAGCTACAAGAAAAAAAGGAAAAAGAAAGTTGCCCAAAAAAGGAATTGTGTGAATGCAATTTGATGAGGTGAATGTGGCGGTAAGAATGTCGCTGTAAGATTGCTTAAGAAATTTTTTTTAAGCAAGTGAGCAAATTTCGCATGAGTTTAAATACTCATTTTTCACATAACTAAAAAGGTTGTGGGGCGGGGCAGGTGGACGCGTGTGTGGTGCGGGGCGGGTGGATGCGGGTTAAAAAAGCTATGCGGGATGGGGCGAGAGTGAAATTTTGCGGGTTAAGAGAGAACCCGCCCCGCACCCGCACCGCCTGCACCGCTTGCCATCCCTATTTAATTTGACAGGGTGATAATGGATTATAGATAGTGCGGCACTGCTATATGAAAATCGTGAAGTCTGGGCCAAGAGAATAATCTCCTATGACTTGTAGGTAAGTTAAGATGGTAGTTTAGTCCTGGATTGGTTATGAGTAGCCTAGCTTGATGTTGGCATGTTTTATGACAAAGTGTCTTCAATGCAGTGGTCCTAAAAAAAGGAAGAAAAATGAGCAAATTTAAACGTGGAGTTATTGCCTAGGTAAGCCATTTCTGCCTGTTTATGAAAACTTACATGGTCCCAATGTGACAGTTTGATGAGCAAACGGTCCCAAATGTTAGAACCTTTCTAGAATTTGGTTTTCCCACATTAACACTCTTAACATAGAAGTGTAGATCCCCCTTACATTTCTCTTTGGAGGGGTAAGTTTGATGACAAGAGCGGAGCATGCTCCTTGTAAATGGTCCCCATAAAATTACCAACTCCAACCAAAAGTTGATTTGGAACAATTACTTTTTTCCACTCATAATTTTACATTTATGATAAGTTAATTACAGAGAAATTTTTATACTAAATATCTATTGTTAACTTGGTAAATTGTAATTGATGTGATAATACAGACTAAATAATAAAGTAAATTTTCTTTTACATTGTCACTGTATGCACAGTATAGGTTAAATACTTTCTTAAATATGTGTCTCTTTAGTTGTGGGGCTTCTTAGTTACAACTCTCAGTCAGCAACTTAACTCGCTAGCACCCCTCAGTGAAAGGAGCGGTATGTAGCATTTATGAAGCTTGATCCACTTCCTTTCTTGTTTGGTAGGCTACAGGGTAGTTATGGCAATTACGGTTTCTCATGCACTTGAATCCAAAAATAGTGTGTCGGTTCAAGTAGATTTTAAAGATTTTAAAGTGAGTTTTTTGTCAATATTGTCCCTTATCTTTAAGGGTATGTCTATTTTGGTCCCTCAAATATAACCCTGAGCATATTTAGTCTCTTAAATATGCTAAAGTGAAGCACATTTAGTCTCAATGACAGAATCTGCCCAAGATCAATTACGTGGTTCGTTTCGGCACTCACCGCCTTTTTAATTTACTTATCAAAAATATTTTATAAACCAACACCCACTAATAGTACAGAGCTGATAAATTTAAGATTTTAAAGTTGAAACTTTTACTTTTAAAAATTTCGATTGATTTTTCCAAAAAGAAAAAGTTAAAATTTGAATAAATAGAGCTGTCAATATCACTTTTAGGCATATTATTGAAGCAAACGAATAACCAGATTGTATTATTACTTTTAGCCCGCGTCAGTAACTATTTACATCTAGTAACCGAAAAAGTATATAAAATTTGTATAATTTTTGTATATTAACATACAAAATGTATATATATAATTTTATATATTTTTCGGCTATTATTTTTACAGCAGCTATACGGTGTCATTTTTTCATTGAAAACTGGCACGGAAGGGGATATTATCAAGATCAAAAAATTTAGAAGCCATTATCTAAAAATGAGGAATTAAAGTGATAATTTGCGTTATCCAATAAAATGAGAGGAAAGGTTTTGCTTCAGAGCAGAAGATTTGCTTCATGAATCAGAGTAAGTTAACACCATTAATTTTTGAATACATTCTGTCAGTGAGACTAAATGTGCTCCACTTTAGCTTAAGGGACGAAATATGCTCAGGATTATATTTGAGGGACCAAAATAGACCTACCCTCAAAAATAAGGAACAATATTGATCAAAAGCTCGAGTTTAAGCTATGCGTACTTCTATCGTATAAAATATAAATATTATTAGATTAAGTTGATCCATAAATTCAGAGGCAGAGCTAAGAATTAAAACTCATGAATTATGTATTCTAATCTTTTTAAGTTATTGAGTTCTAAACTAATAATTTATACATTGAAAAAAAATATAAAATTTAAACTAAAGTTATTCGTTCAGTCGACTTCGTAGCCGACCCTCTAGCTCCGCCCTCTCTACAATAACATATAATATTTCTTGGGAGAATATAGAGAACAACAACCTGCTACATACAGTTAGATCGCAGCGATAATGTGAAATTATTTTACATTAACAATATATAACTTAAATATGATTATAAGAGGCCCTAATCCTTAGGGCAGATCTAGTAGTATGTAATATATGGATTGACGTAAATTGCGGGACACATTGCTCTTCAAAATTAGTCAGCCCCTGCATACTTGTAACCAAACAGTTGGACAGGAGCGCACCATGTGCACCCGACCTAACAATTACTCTTTCCGTTTACTAACTCATGAGTCAAAACATATGCCCTATGCTTCAAGATAACTGTTCCTGTCTCTCCTTTTTTAATGACACAGGTGAAGTGTACAATTATTGATAGTATTCAACTTGTTGAAAGTAATGATACTATCTTAAAATCTCATTAATTTGGCCGTGGAAATCATGCGGGATGATTATCATGTCAATCATACAGTTAGCACATATTACCATATACATATATAATTAGAAAACTTGGAAGAATATATTTATACAAAAAATAGTGATGCCCGATGCATGCAATGATATTCTACAATTAATATCCTCGGTCTTCTTCATACTTCACTTGTTACACTTGAATACAACAAGTCGTCAAAACATGTTTTCGTTATTCGATTCTACAGAAGCTCCCAACACCAAGTGAGATGTTTTCGTTATTCGATTCGATTCTAGAGAAGCTCCCTTATTCGTTATTCGATATAAGGGAATGTCTCATGCATGGACGAGAAGTAGTTGTCAGTTTGGTATAAAAGATCTCTAAAGACGCATGGTTTAATTTTGACTGTAAGGGTAATCTTACTTTTCTTCTCCTTTCAATCCTCTCTCTTCTCTTCCGTTCAGAACACATACTCTGATACACACACTTGTTCTGAACCATATTATTATGCATACACGTCAGTAAAAAATAAGAAAGTTGATCGTTGACCATGCTTTATGTATCTCGTCTTCAAGAGAGGAGGAATTACAATATGAATCTAGTAGTATATCGTTAGGCGTATAAAATTTAAACTCATATAATTTCAGAATCTAGTCACTCTCGCCCTTATCATGGAAATACAATAAAATTTTAATGTATTTTACAAGAAATATGCTCTTTACAATATGTCCATGCACCTAGTAGTAGCTAGTTAGGTCCTGCTAGCTATTTTAACAGAGTAGCAATCAGAAGGTCGTTAACACTAGAAGATACCATGTTAGTTCCAGCAGTGCAGTACAAATGAAAGTAACAATACCTAACACCTAACACTATATATATGTGGCCGTTGACAACAAATTAAAGACATTAACAAAATTCCAAATACGAAATGTGAAGCGCAAAGGATGGAACTAATTAAGAACACGATAAAAACATATCAAGACCAAATTTTGAAACAAAAAGAAATCAAATAAAGTACAAATTCAAGGTGAACTTTTAGACTAAATAATTGAGAAATACGCTTAACAAACTATCTACCAAAAGATAGGTTCCAAATTACATGAAGTTACATAGTTACGTCAAAAACTTTTGACTCATGGAAGCACTTTTTCTTTTTACGAATTGACCCCATATTTAAAATCTGTGCACTACAAAGCTCAAAAGCATGTCTCGAATGAAAAAAGAGATTTAATGTTTTAATTAAAGAAGCAAATATACTAAATAAAGCATCTCCATTTTTTAAAGGCCTGGGCATGT